CATGGAAACACGAGGATCTACTACAGATTCACGCCTTAAGTCTACAGCAAAATTCTGTTTCTATAATCTGCATTATCTTTCACAACTCTGAAGAAGAAACTGAATTTGTGTAGATATAACTGCAAAAGTTCCCGAATGCAAGAAAAAATAAGGCATAAAGAAGAAATTCCTGTTTCAGTGAGGCTGGCCAACATTGCATATTAATTCCTTTTCCGATCTGTATTGGAGCAGCCTGATGGCCTGGTATGGTTTACCGATTATACATTAGAGCATCCATGTATTATTAATTGATGTTTAATGGTAACATCTGTTACTCATATGGGCATTAATGCAATGGCCAGCGGGTAGACAAGAATGGAAAGAGCTGGTCATTATAGCACTTGTTTTGAGTGCACATGTTATTCTCATGCTTTGTTTTCATTGGTGACGTTAACTCAAATGTTGCTGTAACACAAGGTGTGAATACAGCATGGTATAGTTTTATATGCAATAGAAAATATCCTTGGTATTAAAAAAAAACAAAGGTCCCATGCAAGAAAAACTAAACGGGATTAGGATTTTGATTCAGACCCTGGAAGGGGTCCAACGACTGTAAGCTGGCTTCATAAATATGTCTTAGCTTGAGGGTGACCCCTCATACTTTTCCCTCTGGACATCCTTGGTGTCCCACTATCAGTTCCCTTCTGCATTATGTAAATATTTGTACTGCAAGACTCTTTCCAGCAGTTCAACTATAACTGAAAGTAAATGAGAAAAAAGACGGACCCAGAAAAAAAGGAGAGGGATGGGGATGTGTGGGTGGTTACTGTCTAATTTACTGCTGCCTACTTTTACAGTTCAGTTGACATATTTTATTTAACCGTTAAGTAACACAGCTAAGTAGTGCACAAGTCAGGCCAGGGAGAACTCCCAGAGAGGATGAAGGAGTATCTGGAGTAAGAATACATTTGATGTTACATTTGACTATTTGATCATCAGCAAGACGAGTTTCTGACTCTACAGTGACTTCAGAAACTTGGAACCTTTACAGCAGCAACTAAAATGTAGCTGAGATGCAACGTCACTTTAAAAAGGTAAGAGTCATTCAAGACCAGATACTAGAAGAAAAAAAATAATCAATGCCATTTACTGAACATACCTGTACAGTACAGCAAAATAAACCCCTACTTTTCATCAGTACAGCAGACCCCCAGTACTCACAGACCAGAGGAGCTGTGCTAAAGCTAAAATCCATGAATACTTGAGACCCCCCACTAAAAATGCTTAATACCTCCCCATTTTAATAGTTCAAACAGTAAATACACTTTGTTATGCATTGATACACACAGTGGAAACCGTATTGGCGCTAACGCATATGATAACATCTACAGTCTTCCTTATCTCAACTCTTGGGCTCCAATCAGCAGCGAGGAAAATAAATCACGCTTCTGAATCAGCTGCTTCACAAACACCAGTCAATTTTGTGTCACGTAGAAAGTGCATCTGAGTATATAGTGTCCAAAGATGTATAAAATGAAGTCAGATGACAGACCAACAGAAAGCTGCAGTAGCCCATACAGTCCCTGTGAATGACATTGCAAGGGGTGAGAAAACAGAGATTTGTTAAAACACAAAAATGTTATCTCCACAACCAGTCATAGTTCTGTTAGCCATGGACACACACTGTGATTGTTAAAAAATTAGCTGTGCAAAACACGCCCGCACAGCCAACTGAGATAAACCCAACAAAAATCCCATTAAGTGTCCCCACTTAATGGGAAAGGCATGTGTCAGGAGGTGATTGATGGAAATGCTTTCATCAAGACTCTGATCTGATATTTGAGATTTGATGTGGGCATCCCAAGTTAGACTGGAGCCGTGAGAATAAAAATTGTATGGACTACTTTAGAGTGGAAAGTGTATATTAATAGACTGCACAGTGATTTGACAGAGAGGGAGAATATTTGATCAGAGTTAACTTTGAAAAAGTTCTGGGAAGGATGACTTTGCACAACAGCCAAGTAGTGCACAGTACTGTAATACGAAGCCGAAAACACATTGTAATTTTTCATTTGAATAATTTCACTGGTCCAGGAATTGAAAACTGATTATTTCCTGGTTATGTTCAGTTGAACTAAAGGGAAAAAATTCCAGTACAGAACAAAACATGTCTCTGCAGCAGAGGCCCTCATCTGGGACACGGTCAGAGGAACTCTTGCCTAAGTTTAAAAAAAAAAAAAAACAAGATTCTTGCAAGGCCAATGAAACACCAGCCCCTCCTGACTGAAAAAAGTTATGCAGGAGATTAAAACCAGATAACCTTCACCTTTGCTTATCAACGACAACAACCTCATTGTTTAAGAAAAAAAGAAAAGAAAAAAAGAGCCACTGGAATCTGCATGAACACCTTTTGCTCCAGCTGTTCTAATGCGCAGATCATTACCAAACTTCTAATTCTCAACACCATCACAGCAACAATAGCAACAACATAAAGTGAGATTTTAACATGAGACATGTAGCTCAATTCAGATGTATAATCTTCTTGCCATATTGCACAACTCTGTGTGAATCGGGGAGGTTTGGGGAGGCCTGTTGTGACACAAGCAGCTGGGATGCCTTGGAGCAGGAAAATGACAGGTTGGTGTGCCTTAAATTCCATAACCTTTAGGTACGAGGGCTCAGTGTGGTTCATTCACTTCATTATGTGGAAAAAGCAAGAGTTGCTTCTAAAACGATAGCTACCACACCTAAAAATAACTGAACTTTCTCTCTGCAACTGCGAAAAACAGATCATACATACTTCAAGATTAGTTTAGTCTCAAGGGAAACTATTAAATGTCTGGCAAAATGAATTAAATGGACGCAGGACTATCAACAGCTGTACAATATAATCCAAAGTCGACAGTAAGGCTGCATTTAGTCTGTTTAATGGAACTCTGGTATGTTTGACTCGAAAGTCCGGTTCGCTTGGGGAGGTATGAATGCACTGTCAAACTCTGATGTGGACCAAAACACCGAACTCTGGTCCACCTAAAAACCGAGGTCTCAGTTCAGTTGAAGCAAACTCTGGTGCAGTCTGAATGCAAACGCTTCAAAAGCAAGAAGCAGACAATAGCGCAGAGCATTCTGGGTAAATGGAACCAAAATAAACGCTTGTTATCTAGCTCTAGCAGAAGAAAAATGGCTTGTAGGGTTTTAAAAAAAGACAAACTCTACAACCACTAAAATTTCACAGCACTCCATTTGTTGCTTACATTTGAGGAAATAGAAAGTTGCATTCTTTTAGGTGTTGTTTTCTTGAGTGGTTCTTGGTGCAGCGCCACCACGGGCGAACAGGCGTTTGGAAGGGTTTAGTTCATTTAACAGTGCAGTGTGGAAGCAAATTGGACCAGCAGAAAATGTAACAAATGCTGCAATTTTGGTCCCTAATCAAACCAAGTCTGCTGGACTATCAGGTGTGAAAAGATCCTAAGAATTTCAAAACTACCAAAGGGTTCTCATCATTCCTTTCCTCCAGTTTGAAGTTATTTTATTAAGATTCAACAGAAAGTGTCAGAGTGACTAGAGATTTCTCAAAACTGGAGCACAGAGGAAACTTAAAATAAATGTTAACATAAATAGATTTGAGAGTTTAACACATTAACAAATTGTTGTGTTAAACTCATGTGACATACAGTATGCCCTCAATAAAGCATTTTTTTTTTTCAATTTCTTTGCTATTTTAATCATCATTAAGACTGATAAAGCATACCCTTACAATAAACCATCATTCACAATATGTCTACAGCCATGAAATTAGTCATAGAAGGCATTTCTTTGCAGAACAGAAAGTTGGTAAATAGACCCAATTCACTCAAGGTACAGGTATTTGCGATTTCTCTGTTTTTATTCACATTTCCTGTCTGGAGAGTTTTACTAGTATTCAATCTGACTGCAGGAAAACCCTTGAGCAGAATGTGAGAACATGACATAAATACCATAGATTTACAGTTGTTGAAAAGGAAATGCAGTGCTGCATATTTCTTTCCAATCTTTCTGTAATTGCTGTGATACACTGAAGCTGTTGTATTTTTATTCACAGTTACTACAATGTTGAAACGATCATCACTGCATTGCCTGGAGCTACAAATTGCTCAATATGTCTGACACTATTTGCGTTGCCTGGGCAGAACGACACAGACGAATACATCTGTCTCAAAACTATAATAATGTTAACTGTGGTGAACTACAAGAATAGTTCTCACCACAGAACTGAAGGAAAAGGTTTTACTGACTGTGGGTATTTCAACTTTCCTAACACTTTTTTAAAACTCACTTTGTTTTTACAGCTGGGTTTGCACAGCACTGACCTCTTGCTGTGACTGTTTGCAGAATGAGGGTGGCTGATGAAAGGAGGGCAGGACAAATCTAACAGAAAACCCCTATTAAACTGTAACAATATGAGCAACTCAGTAAACCTAACAAGTGAGCGTTAAAGACAAAAATTAGCTTGAAGGGGTCAAAGTGTTGTGAACGGAGCCTTGACTAATGCAGTTGACAGACCATGAGTTTATGAATGACAGGGTAACTTTACCCTACTATAAAGTGAACAACGAGTAATTAATATTTCCTTTCAAAAAACACCGAAATGACTCAATATCTTCACAGGAAGCGCAGTTTTTTTGCTAACCTCCGTCAGCAACAACAAAGAAGTTGCGCTGCAACGACTCATTTATTACGAAAACGTGGAAGTAACCTCCCAATTTTACACCCCGGCACAACATATCTGGGCTTTTTTCCTATCTGAGGTCTCTTCAGAAGCCAGAAAACACAACTAGTGCGCAAATGAAACGTCTGTGAGAAAGTCGGTTGTACAAAGTGTGAGGAAACCACAGAGTGTAAACGCGCATCAGCTGTTTTTTGAAAAGTTCCTGCTAACGTTAACCTGAGCACGTCGCTCGAGGCGGTGGTTGACGTTCCGCTAGAGAGAGCGACCGTTAACCAGAGCAATGAGAGAAAAAATAAATAAAATCAACACTTACTTTCTTCTTCAGAATGCAGTTCGGTTTTAAATGCACATTCCTCGCAGCTCCACGCTCCTTAGCAAAGCTTGCAGCGAGTGCTCCGGCGAAGTCCGGTGTTCAAACTTAAAATGCCTTCTGGCTTCTGATTGGTCAGATCTCACCACAGCGTTGCGTTCACGTGGTGTTGGTAAACGCCCCATTCTCTGTTATCTCTTCGAGTTTTGTCTTGTTGGGACCTTATTGTATGATTCATTTAATTTAAAAAAAATGCTAATCTTTTGAACACATATTAATAAACTGAACCTGCTTAATCTGAGTTTTGTTTGCAAAACAAATTGATCAAAGATGATTTAATGGTGTGTTTTCTTTGTACTGAAAACACTAGCAACTTCGAGTGCACATAGGATGTGCACAATCAAGTATCTTCCTGTGTGAATATAGTACTAAGAACAGAGCAAATAATGCTTTTTCCAATCAATACGTAATTCATAGGTAAGACAGTGTAAAAATCGAATTCACTTTAACGTTTTTACCTCTATGCTTTTAATTCATACTTAAGCTCATCTATAATACTGTCACATTATTTCAAGATAATTAGTGCACTTCCTCTTACCTATATTTACTGTGTAAATAATTGGTTCTTTGAAAATTATCATCTATGCAAGCTAAGAAAAGAAAATTTTAACATAAGAATTACATAATTATTTATCCTGATGTATGTTATTGCTCAATCCTTAAAGATTTTGGAAAGATAATATCTAGAACAATAACAATATCTAGAATTACATTTAATACTGCTTGAAACAAGTAAAACAAAACATATACTGTATGTCTTTGAGCTGTTTCTGAAATGATAAATCTCTGTAGTTGCACAAGTTGAAATGTACTTTCTATTGCTGACATTTGCTTATTGTATATCGTTTAACTTATATGCCCTTTTCTCTCACTTCATTGTGTGTCACGATCCAAATCCAAACTTTATTTTGGTTTCTAGTACATTCAGATGCAAAACCTGCCTATGATATTATACTGTAGCGCACCCTACTGCTCAAACTAAAGCAATATGCAACATGTGGTATTTGGTTTGTGGTTGGTTCACGCAGTCTAACAATTACACAGCGATTAGCTTTACTGTTTTATGTAATTATTAACTGCTGAAAGCTCTAACCAGGATTGTTTGCCTCTTTTGCAGAAATAAAATAACAAAATGATATGCATTAGACGTTCAGGTTTTCAGGATATTAAGGATTTTATTATGTTTTCCTTTGGTCTAACATGTCTTCTGAATTAAACGATGAATTTTACATGGTTGTTTATTCTTGACATTCTAAAGCTGGGGCTTTAGACAGTTATGAATGCAGTTTTAGGACTGAACACGGTAACAATACAACCACGGGGCTTTTGATGTTGATCATTATACCCACGCACAGTCTCACACACGTGCATTCACATGTAAACACAGACATTACAATGTAATAGATGAATCCATCTGACTGTAACAGCTCCTTCAGTTACTTTTCTTTTTTTCTAATTTTGTACATCATAGTGAATGATGAAAGCACAGGTAGTGATGTAGATCATTTTGTCTTCAATGCGTCAGATTAGTTGGGTAACACCAGACTGACCTGTAAAATAAACATCTGTTAGTGTGGATGGTTGCAAACTATCTCTGCTGCAGCCACAGAATCATTAAAGGCTGGCATAGTAAGACTAATAAAAAAGAATACACATTACTTTAACTGCACCAGTTGATTTTACTCCAGTAAAGGGTCTGGAGTAAGACACAAGTCTCTCCTCCATAAGGAGGAGAGACTTCAATATAAGTATCAATGACCTTAGTGAAGCAGTTATTGCTATTAGCCTGGGGAAGATCATAAGACCATTTCTAAAATGTGCAAATTCTATCATTTTCAGAAAAACATTCAATGTAGGTGCTTTTCTATCTGCAGGTTGGCTTTTCAGCAAATTCACCCCAATTCATACTATGGAATACTCAGAGAAACTGCAAAACCCAAGAAGTCTGAATTTTAGAATTCTCACAGAGTATGTCAATGTTTACAGCAGTTGTTGTCTGTGCAGCACCTCCCTCCACAGAGTTCCTACAGCACAGCAGTCTTCGCCTCCCCAGCTGCGTACACACAGACTTGGCAGACGTTTTAGCTAGATGTCACTTCTGACGCAACCCCACTGATTATCCACAGGAAGGAACAGGAGAATGTTGCTTCCTTGGGATGATTGTTATCAGAGCTTGTCCCTAAAGAAGTTTAGCTTATTGAATGTAGATATGTAAAACAAATTTGAATCAGTCGCAAGATGACTAGGCAAACATCTATCGAAAGATGATACTAAAGTAGAGAAGTCTTCCCACGTTACACAGCACCATGTCTGGAGAAAATATCAACAAACACCTCATGCCAGCTGTCCAGCATGATGGCAAAGGTGTGAAGATTCGGGCCCATCTTCCCTGTGTACCACTGTCTGTACACTAAATAACTAGAGTCAAATGTCAAGCTTTGTCCAAAGGTTGAAGTTTGGCTCAACCTGGTCTGTCAAAAGGATTATGGCCTGAGACTGAGCAACTAGAATCTGCATAAAATGGCTAAACAAGAAAGGAATCAGATTCTCTGGTGCAAGCAAATTACAAAAGCTATGCATACTAATGTCCAAGCTGCTGTGCTTTTTTAATTTTTATGTGTAATAAAAAAAACAACAACAAAAAAAAACATCCAAGCTTTCTTACCACTTTCACACAGTTTTTATTTTTATTTTTATTTCTTATCAGTTTTACCCAATGTATCTTCCTTTTCAATTTGGTTTGTAATAAATAATCTCAAGCCTAAAAAAATTGTAGTTCCAAGATAATTTGATAATTCGAAAGGGGTGAAAGATCATTACAGGACCTGACAGACAGAAGTGTCTCTTGGCAAGTGGAGACACTACAGTGGTCAGTACCTTGTCCGGGCTCATGAGAGGACACTTCCAGTTGTACAGGTAGTAATGGACACTCTTATCGCTGATGGTGAACTTGAGCTTTTCCAAGAAACTCATGTTGTCCATCACATCGAGAGCACAGAAGACATCAAAGCCTTTCTGTTTGTGAAAGGAAAAAAAAAACAAGAAAAGAAAAGAGTGGGCATTTTTTACAGCACTGCTTGTTAAATCAGAGATGCTTATATTCAGATAAACTCACAGCTTTAGCCAGAACCAGTGTGTCCTGCATGAGGTCAGCCACCCCAGTGGCATTACAGACGGCGTACAGAAGACAAGCAGCTCTCAGATCGGTGTGAACTGGATGGTTTAACACCCTGGAGGAGACGGTATAGAAACTCACCATGTCAGTCAGAGCACCATTGTCCGCCTGTGTGCAAGGAACGGAAGGTCAATCAATTTTTCTACCACCGCACCGCAGCTTAAATTCTTAACAAAAAAGTTTTTCTCTGTTCAAAGGAATTTAAAGTACAGATAGAAGAAGGTCAGACCTCCACCACATAGGTGTCATTCACATTCTCCTTCGGTAAGAACCAGTGCTCTACTTCTTGCAGTGATAAGAGGGGGCTGAGGTGGAAGTTGGAGAGGTTTTTCTCGAGTAATGAGAGGATCCTTGGAGCATCTGCTTCTGTCATAGGACGCAGGCCCTTTATCTTTGTCACCTTGGAAAAATTTTTTTTAAGAAAACTTTACTGCTTAAATCAGTGCTCTTAGGATATTTTTTACAGTCTAACACCTCTGTCCCTTCAGTAGCAGTAACAAATGTTTGTCTCTAGATGGCAGCACACACTAACCTCAGGTAAGCGGTTAAACTTCAAGGCTCGCTGCAGATTCATGTTCTGCTTTAGACCGGGGTAGTTGACCTCCATTAGCTTACGGGGATTCAAAGGGCGATGCCACTGGCTGAGAGGATTCATTAGTTTATATCAGGGATGACAAAGGCAGATGTTGCTTTAGATTAAAAATACCGTACATACAGTGAGATCACCGAACAGTAAAGCTATCACAAATGACATGTACGGCCTTGAATAAGTTTCTGCCACCTTGAATTATCCTGCATAAACTTCGAGTGAAAGTAAAACATCACATGATTGTCAGAATGTATATACTTTGTATGTACTAGTACTTTATAGAATGGATTTTTCAACTATCTGAGCTGCAACTCTTTTGGCTTTGCACAAACTGGATGTTTGCCAGTTTTTCTTATAAAATGATGCAGGATCAATCAGACTGGATGACAACCAGTGAAAATAAAAATCTAATCTCTCCACTTAGTTGCAATTTGATTTGGTCTGATCTTTAACTTGGTATTTTGACATGTAAAAGGTGCTTTGATAAAAAAAGACAAAAAACAAAATTATAGTAGATTTTGTTGAACATGTAGCTTTGTTGTGCTAGAAGTTGAAGGAAGCACCTCCTTCTCCTCTGTCTCCTGCAAAGCTTGTGGCATGCTACAAATTTCAAATGTGTCCCACACTTTTCAGATTTCGTTTGGAAAAAAAAAGTTTGATCTTCCCTCTCCTTTAGTATTATCCACTAGTCTGTGTTGTATTACACCAAATCTTAATGAAACACATTGAATTTGTATAAGTCACGTTGAAAATGTCAAAGGTGGTAAAAATGTAGGCAAAGTCCTGCATGTATACATAAGAGAAATGCAATTTTAAATAACTGATGGCTACGTTTCTGCTTTGAATTTACTTTAATGTGACTCAGTCTTGTGCAGTAGCTACCTGCAGGAGCTTATTGGTGTTGGCAACACTGTGCCAGCTGCATAGACAGCCTGGTAGATCCCCTGCTGGTTGACCCTGCTGGTAAGTTCCCGAATCAGAACCGGTGTCATCCGCTTGAGGCGCAGTTTCTTATGAACACACAGGAATCTGACCTGCACCAACCGCTTCTTCCTGCAAGACAGATTTCAGTCTCTTGACTTTGGTTTTACACACACACACACACACGCACCCACGCACACACACACACACACACACACACACATATCTTTTCATGAATTTACGAGCTACTCACGTCTCGTAAATGCAAACATCAGCAGGTACAGCAGCAATGAAACCGACTAACTTCTTGTTTGCGTCTACTCTCACGCCCAGGTTCCACTGGAGCAGCCAGTTTGGAGGC